GTTTTTTAGTCCGAATGGCATTACCTTGTAGCAGTAGGTTCCGCGTTCGGTTATAAATGCGGTTTTTTCTTGATCTTCAGGATTCATCATGATTTGATTATATCCAGAGAAGGCGTCCATGAAGGATAGGAGCTGGTGGCCAGCTGTCGCCTCAACAAGGCGATCGATGTGAGGTAACGGGAAGCTGTCTTTAGGGCAGACCTTGTTCAGGTCTGTGAAGTCTACACAGATCCTCCACTTCCCGTTTTTCTTTTTCACTACTACGGGGTTAGCTAGCCAATCGGGGTAGTGTACGTCGCGGATGGACCTTGCTTTCGTGAGTCGATCTACTTCGTCGTTGACAGCTTGGGATTTTTCGAGGCCTAGCTTACGGCGTTTTTGTTTGATCGGTTTGAAAGTAGGATCTACGTTGAGCTTGTGAGAGGTGACATTTGGGTCTATACCTCTCATGTCGCTGGTAGTCCATGCAAATGTTTTGACGTTGCTTTTCAGGAAGTCGATCAGTTCCTTTTTCGTTTCGAGAGGTAGCTCTGATCCGATACTTACTTGTTTCTCGGGATCAGAGTCGTCGATGCTAACTCGTTCGGTTAGGTTCCTAGGGGGACCTCGAATATTTTGTTGCATCTCTCGACCTTCCTGGATCTGTAATTGCTATTGAGGTGATTCCTTGAGGATTCCGAATCCCCCCAAGTAACAGATCCTAGAGATCTTCTGGCTACCTCGTACAGTGGTTATTCCGTCTGGTGTCGGAAATTTCACGCATTGATGATAGGTGGAGGCTACTGCCTTCATTTTATGGATCCAAGGTCTTCCCAGGATCGCATGAAATGGAGAAGGCCTGTCGATGACCACAAAGTTGGTCATTTTCATGATTCCTCCAGCTATAACCGGGAGCTTGATGGTTCCCAGGGAGGTAACTGTTTCCCCAGAGAAACTTACAAGGTTGGCTTTCTGACCGATAATCTCGTAATCATATATTTCCATCCCTTTCAGGGCATTATAGAAGATAAGATCGACCGAGCTTCCAGTATCGACCATCAGCTTAGGCACCTCGTAACCTGCTATGTTCAGGGTGACGATTAAAGCGTCATCATGAGGTCTGTCGAGGTCTGACGTCTCGCTCTCCCAGAAAGAGATCTTGGTGTTATTTTCGGGACTGGGAGGTTTAGATTGGGCTTTAGATACAGCCCTCCGCACGTGGCTCTTGATCGAGTTGACTGAGTCTTGACATATATCGGAGCCTCCGAGAATATAGTCCACTCTTGAGCTAGGACTCGACTGAGGTGGGGGTTTGCTTAGGAGGGTCTCGATTTGTAGACTCTTCCCTTGGGGGAATTTCGCGAGAATCATGTCGACTCTTTTCTTGGGAGCTGGCGGTGGCGAATCTGTTTCCT